GCATTAGATACTGATAGTAATTCCATCGCACCTAATCCTACTGACACTGCATCGCATATCTTGGGGTGATAGAACATCGGATAGGCCCATCCGATACAAATATCTTGGCAGTGTAGTGCACTGACTGCAGATGCCCTAATAATACATTATTACCAAGAGATTTACATATACAAAGTTAGGTCTACCTTCTACTGAGTGCATTTGCTCATAAAGATGGAAGAGTGAAGGCTCAGGATATAAAAGGAGGACCAGACCTCCTTGAAGCATCATTAAAATAAAACTCAACAGTCTGAATACCTCTCTTGGATATTCTGGGCTTTCTTCTTCTGAGATTCCTCAGTCACTGGTTAATACATGATTAACCTTGGTGATTTCTTCTCTATCTAGAAGCAGTCTAGTCTCCTTACTGGTCTTCACCAGTTTGTTTTATTTCTTTGTTCATCCAAGGTTAATCACTAGCACCTTTCCTCCTTGGCCCATCTGCTCCACTCTTGCTGAGGGGTTCTCAAGAGTGTAGCACAGTGGTAGAGGATAAAAGCTAAGTGTGCCAGCTTCTAGACAGCACAGGATATAAAGGATCTGTGTGAAGCACTGCTGATCCTGTGGACATTTAGTTCATTCCCTAGATAGGATCAGTACTCATCTTGCTATCAGAAGAGGTTCCTGAGGCATTTGAGCATTAAAGGAACCCATTTCCAACCTTTGGCCTTTGTGCCCACACCTTTTCTCAGACCAGTCACTGCCAAGAAAATTGCATCGCATAGAGGCATGCTATGTCACATAGCAGGCCAAGATGCAATGCAATAGGTCTATTTTCCAAGGTAGGGACCTTGAAAAATGGTCCATAGTATCACATGAAGACATGCTATGTTACATAGCAAGCTTCCATGCGATGCAAATATCTTGGCAGTGAGTGGTGAGGTCACTTGCCAGACAGAAGCAAGTGGCTCACATGTTCCCCCTCCAAATGAGCCAAGTGTCCCTAAGGGGCAATTCTTTGCCCAGGCCACAAGGATGGGTGCTTTTCAACCTGATCTGAAGCAAAAACCCTCACCCTCCCCCAAACCCCCCCTCCCACCAAAATTCCCTGACCTCTCCCTCCTGCAAAGCACTTGCAACCATGGCTTATATGCAGAAAGACAACTGAGCCAGACAGCCTCAGGGAGAAACTACATGCCCCTGACAGCCATGCTCCTCACCCACTACCCAACAGGCCCCCCTGTAAGTCATGCAATTTCACATGTGAGTAAGATGAACATTGAGTGTGATATTGTGTGATTGGAAAGATGAAGAAAATCCAATCACACTGCATGACTTGACAGGTTTATAAGGACAAAGCAAGAGAGACATGATTTGAAATGTAGAGAAAGGAAATCCAATTTGTCATGGATACCTGTTTGGAGAAAAAATATGAAATGTACAATTTATGTAACCAGGACAAAGTGTAAAAAAAGGACTCAAAATGAAAATATTCAAATATTCAAATACCAACACCCCCTACCATCCATATCTGTGTGCTTGCCTGAAACTCCTTCATGGGTGAGATATGCATCCAGTTTCAATCTCAAGATGCCCTTGATGCCATTGCAACTCTCCCCAACCAAGACTGGGTCAAGGAAATTGACCCCACCCTCAAGCTCAAGACTGAAATGTATCCCATAATAGTCCATGGCATCCGGACCACTTTTGACCCCTCAAACAGAGCCCACCTGGAGTCCCTAATGGGTGACAACAGGGGTCTTGTGTTGGGACATGAGGTCAGAAAAGAATTGACTAAACCAGGATTCAAACCTGGGACCTCAGCATGGAAGCCAAGACACAATATCAATGTGATGCCTTTACCACTAGGCCATCCAGTTTTTATCCAGGGTGATGGGATTGTGTAGGAGGCAGCACAACCTAAGCATAGGTGTGGATCACTTCAACATGGCATGGATCATAAGCATATGACCACTCATCAACATCTCATCAGCCATGAGGCCTGATCAACAATCACATACACTGCCAAGATATTTGTATCGGATGGGCCTATCCAATGTTCTATCACCCCAAGATATGCGATGCAGTGTCAGTAGGATTAGGTGCGATGGAATTACTATCGGTATCTAATGCTCTGACACCATATCACAGTGTAATTCCATCGCACCTAATCCTACTGACACTGCATCGCATATCTCAGGGTGATAGAACATCGGATAGGCCCATCCGATACAAATATCTTGGCAGTGATAGGCAGTCAAGAAGGTAACCACATATATTGAATGAAGTAATATATGTATTACATGTGTAATAAGTAATGTACACATATAGAGATATAGTGTAATGTATGCAATACATATGTAATAAGTAGTGTTACAATTGAACTGTCAGTCCTGAAGACTGTGTAACAGTCCCAAAGACTGAAACCAGACATGCACATACATAGAAACATAGTGTAACATGTATTACATGTGTAACATATGTCTTACACATGTAGTAACTAGGGAACATATGTAGAAACAGAGTGTAACATATGTACTACATATGTAATAAGTAGTGTAACAATTGAACCACATCTCAGGCTCAGTCTCAAAAGTCATAACCATAGTGCACTTATGACAAGAGCCAACTAGCAGACCCTGTCATTAGAGTAACCTGTTGGAATTTACAAATTATAATTATCTCAAAGTTGTGTTAGAAGTCCTGACAGTACCAATATCTCATCTCAACATATACATTTCAAATACAGTTTTATTTTCCTTTATTTCATAATTTCTTCCTCAACTACATTTCAAATTCAGTTCCTCTATTTCCATTAAAATCAAATAAACTTGTACATGTGTTAAGAGAATAAAAATGTATATAAAGACCTATAAGACAAATTGTAGTAACTCTATCAATCTTCAGAGTTTCTTTCTTATTCATACAAAGTTTATCCCATCATGTGCTAAATGCTTCACTGCCAACATATTTTCATCGCATGGAAGCTTGCTATGTAACATAGCATGTCTTCATGTACTATGGACCATTTTTCAAGGTCCCTACCTTGGAAAACAGACCTATTGCATCGCATCTTGGCCTGCTATGTGACATAGCATGCCTCTATGCGATGCAATTTTCTTGGTGGTGCTTACTTTATATGAATGATGTTCTTATAGGCAAGTTAAAATCTTAACCCAATTTTTCTTTCTTTTCTCATATATGAACAAGTTGTTGTTATGAAATAAAAGGATCAATCTTCAGAGTTTCTTTCTTATTCATATAAAGTTTATCCCATCACATGCCAAATGCTTACTTTATATGAATGATGTTCTTATATAACCAACCACAGGCTGGCCTCACTGCCAAGAAAATTGCATCGCATAGAGGCATGCTATGTCACATAGCAGGCCAAGATGTGATGCCATAGGTCTATTTTCCAAGGTAGGGACCTTGAAAAATGGTCCATAGTACATGAAGACATGCTATGTTACATAGCAAGCTTCCATGCGATGAAAATATATTGGCAGTGCCTGTGTGGCCCTGTAGTAGCATGAGCTGGAACCAAAAGTCAGCCCACATTTGAAAAGTAAGGAGGAGGTAACCTGAAAGGTATATAAACCCCCTCTCTCCTGCTCAGGAGTGGTCTTCCCCCCTCACCTTTTACCACAACTACCTGAAAAACCCAACCAGCACACTTTGAGGATACTTATATCAAGTCATCTGCTCAACAGTGCCAAGGGTCCCAGGTGTGAGTCAATCCAGAAGGTCACCATCCAGTTTGATAACCTCAGAGTCTTTCAGAGTCCTTGTTGTTGAATTACAGTGAGACTGGTGCTGGGAGAGGAAGAAAAATACCAATAGTGGGGTCAAGATGCTTGTGTTGAGGAGGACCTCCAGCGCATCTCTGCCACTGCTCATGCTCACCAGACTCTCTTTCCCTATGCTCAAAATCAGCAGGGAAAGAGTAAGTCAAACCCCTATCTACTCCATATGTTTCTCTTTCTATTCACCTCATCCTCTTTATGTCTTTTAACCATTTCTTTCTACTCTGTCATTGCAAGTGCCTGACCATGATATTCTCCTCAAATGACTGTCTTGTAGAATACATATTGTTTCTCCTTAACTGACAGTTTTGAGTCTTTTCTCTCATGCATGACAATATAGGTCAGTTTGATTGTTTTGTGACCAGGGTTAAAGAGTTGCTCAACCCTGCTTGGTTCACCTTTGTATCAGGTCAGCATGATTGTTTTGTGATCAGGGTTGAAGAGTTGCTCAACCCTGCTTGGTTCACCTTTGTATAAGCTCATGCATGATAATATAGTGCATTGAGAAGAATTATAATAATTTACACTTGTCAGTGAGGAATAACAAGGATTAGACATAAATCACCAAGACAGGAGTCAGAGCACCCTGTCTCAAAGGATTGGAGCTAAACAGTTGTAGTGCTCAACTGTGCTCTCCATCAAATACCTAGTACCATGGCTTAGAGACCCAGTCCTCCTAAATCCTCTCTTTAGGGATCATTTAACTGTAGTCTACACCTGGGTGTCACCAGTGTAGACTAGATTCCTAGCTAGGCAGTGGCCTGATAGAAGCCACTCTCTGACAGGTCTTCTAGACTCCCTCCAATGCACCATTTGGTCAAAACAGACCTCTATAGATACTAAAGAATCACACTCATCCATTATCCTCCATCTACACTGCCAAGATATTTGTATCGGATGGGCCTATCCGATGTTCTATCACCCCGAGATATGCGATGCAGTGTCAGTAGGATTAGGTGCGATGGAATTACACTGCAATATGGTGTCAG